TTTTGTCTTACAATGCCTGGCATGTCTCACCCCAACGAACGGACTTAATAAAACACCTTTTGGACCAAAATCTTTCAACTATTGTAAAACAATGTCTTAGGCAACAGGTAGCATATTAGCAACCATTTCATATAATGACTTTCTGTGAGGGAGTTTTAAGAGGCATTACAAGCTTCGGGGGCATTAAATGCTTCAGATGTCTGGTTCCCATCACCACCTTGTGAACTATTCTGACTCAAGTTCACATAAGAAGTTCACATCAAATCTCACTGAATGATTTTGTTTATACTTTAATCTTTTAATTACACAGGCATTTTGAAAAATTGGTGGAATTCCCCTTTAACAATGTTTCCTCAGTAACCTGTGTACATTAATAAGTAGCAGCAAAGAACTGAAAGTCAGTATCACTGTCACACTCCACAGGCCTGTCTAAATTTAACTGCACTTCACTGAATTGCTGGCTTGTATGTTTTTTTTTTTTACCATCAGTGACACAGAGTTAAATCTCTGAATAGTGATTTGAGGATTTAAAGACTGGCTGGCACCCTGGCGTACTTTAGAATGATGTTTTAATAGTGATAAACTAAATGAGTTTCATGTATTTCTCTTTCCTTCACTTATAAGTGCTGTAATTAATACTTTTCCAGTTGACTGCATATTTCTTTTGGGATTTTTATTGGCCTTTGTTGGCCTCAGCAGCAGGTTTTGGAACTTAAGCAACGTCCAGGCAGCTTTTCAAACAGCTGATAGCTGTCTCCCACAATTCTGTCTCCCTCCTGCTGGCGTGCCACGACGCCTGACAGTATGGAGTGTAATGTGTGATAGATCGCACTTTGGGGACTGGGTAATCACATTTCCCTCTGCCATCAGCTGGAGCCCCGCAGGACATCCTCAGAAACAAAAAAAAAATCCCAGGATCCCATTCTCCCAATCTGGAGGAGCATGTGACGCCTTTACCCAATGTCACTGTGCTTCTGAACAGGACAAACTCACAGAAACTGAAGAGACTGAACAGCTTGATTGCTTGGAATCATTAATGATGAACACTCTACATGATGCAAATGATTTCCCTCATTGAGAAAAGTGGAAATCCTATGGAAAGTGCAGACTCTAAACTTTTAGTTGACATTATGATTGTGATGATTGTGTTTGTAAGGAGAAAAGCGCGAAAGTCAGAAATCACCCTTTATTTATTTGAGTTCTAGTCAAAACAGCCATTTATTATTATTATTCATTTTTCAGTGTCAACAGTGTTTAATGTGTCCACCTTTCGTTTCAGCTTCCATTCTTTTGGGGAGACTTGTGTTCAGTTTCTCATAGAAATCTGCAGAGATATTTTTCCACAGCTCTGAAGTTCAGTTTCAAAAGTTGTTTGCAGTTTCTGCTTCTCACGATCTAAATAATCCCACACACATTCAATGATGTTGAGGTCTGGACTCTTGGGTGACCAGTCCAGCGTTCTGGGAACACCAGCAGCTCCTTTGTTCGATTTGCAAATTTCCTCCATCTTGAAGGCTACACCTCCTTTCTGACTAGAGTTCAGTTGTCTTCTCACAGAGGAAGGATGGATGGAAACACCTGTGGATTTTTTCCAGATCTGAAGAAATCTGGAGTTTGATTTTTTGTTATTTCTCAAAGATGTCCCATTTCCTCCTTGGAAACTTTTATTAAATTTATTTTCCTTTCACTTTCCCCTTGATTACGGATAAGTGGATAATCTTATATCGAATCTCAGAAATATCTCGTGAAAAATTAACCTGTCCATTTTGACTGGAAATTAAATAAATGGAGGGTGGTCTCTGACTCAGTACTGTATTTAATTGTGATGAATTTCACCGCTTGACTTCGAAACAAGTGGGAAAAAGGGGGAACTGCAGACTCGAAGCTGAAGACACAAAGGTAATTAGGTAATATATATGCAACGCAACTCACTGTGTAATTAAATATGTAATTATATAACTGTAGTTAACTAGTAAAGCAAAATGAACTGGACTTTTCATTGTTCAATATCTGCTGACATAAGCATGCAGATAAATCCATACAAATGTACAGACGGAAAGCAACTTCCTTGATTATTAATAATTTATTTTGCCTATTTCTACTATCACTACAGCACCTCAAACTCAGCTGACCAAGCTACATCACCTTAACCCTGGGTAGATGCTTTACTTTATTAGGCTGCTAGCTTATTTTGCCACAGCAGTCCATCCCCCGCCTCCCAAACACCTCTTTTAAGGAAGATGAAGTCTTGAGGGAGTGTGAGTGTCTTTATCAAGGTTAAGTAGCTCATTCGCTGAAAGAGCGGGCCGAGAGCGCCGGCAGCAGACGCGGTGTGAGCCCACGGCAGTGCGCGCCGGCGGCCAGCCTAGCGGGCAAATGGCCTTTAGTTGTCCTAACGGCACTATCCATCATAACATATGCTCTCTCCAGGACGCCACGGCCTTAATGAACGATGGCTTTTTCATCCACCTTATTTCGGGAAGATGAACCGGAGGAAGGAACGGGAATAAAACAGAAAAGTCTGAGAGGAATTCTCGGCAGTGGGAGCGGATATGTTGCGGCACTACCACCGAGAACATTTTTTTGGTCCTAAAACGGGTACGGGACAAAGTGGAGTACCCAAAAAAGGTGCCTGGCTGAAAAATCGCACATCAAGAGCAAGATGATTAACCAAAAGCTGAAAATTATCACTGGAGCCTGTCCCAGAGGTGCCATGAAAGGGACTGGGAGAGAGTGTTAGTATGATAAATACGCCGATGTCACTGACCTCATGGTGGCCATTATTTCTGTTGCATCCTGGGAGCCTGCTGCGGCCTTGGCACGGCTCTGGTTGGTGCTCGGACGCGGGCAGCTCCATCATCTGGCCTGACAAAGATGGCTGACACCAGGGGCCCGTGCCCATCCAGCCCATCTGTGCCCAGGTGCCCGCTTTAGCACGGCACGGCAGGGGGGGGAGGGGGCAGCCTGGGTGACCCCGCGAGGGTTCAGCTCCTCTGACACTCCGCCACAGTGTCATTAGAAAGTCACCAAGGACTGAGGCCCAAACTAAGCCAGTGGGAAGTTCCACTTTGTCCTAAATATAGTTGCTATTGTCTCACTTTTACTTACTTGCAGTAAGACCATTGTAGACACTGCGGGCCTAAATCCTCACTGAACGCAGACTAAAGGACACAAAAGTGTAGGCCTGTGCTCAGTGGCGGTAACCTGAGTTACCATGGAAACAGCCACTAGTAGTGGTAAAACCTAGACGTCGGTCATTTACTGATTTATTGCATGCAAAACATAGCAAGACACTGGTGTTTCCACACACTGCTCTCATTTATTTTTCCACTCATTGCATCCAACTATTAAAAGTACAAGGCTAAAGTGGCCAAATTGGCTGATTAGTTATCTTGCTTCTAAGAAGTCAGATGTTCCCTACATTTGGTATATGTTTAAGAACATCGTTAAACCAGAGCTTCAGGTCTCAGAATAAACCCTCTCATACTCAGCTCTCGTACAGTTTGACATCAGGCAAAATGGCCTCGGACAAATAGCCACAGATGAAACGATCTCAGACAGTAACATTCGCAATTATACTCTTTCTTACTAGATTAATCACAGTTTTGTGACCAAGTTTAAAAATATACCATCACTACAGCTTTTACTGAACTGAGCTTTCACTGTGTTCTTTTATTTAACAAAGATTCAGCTTCAGCTGACAACATGCTACACTGTGCTTTTCTCGCATCCGCCTCAGAGTCGGGAACTGTTTCAAAATTACTGCAACAAAGCACAGAAATAAATGGATAGACAGAGAGACAGACAGACAGACAGACAGATAGATAGACAGACAGATGGATGCATAGACAGACAGACAGACAGACAGTGACAGATAGATGGATGCATAGACAGACAGACAGACAGATAGAGAGATAGATAGATAGATGGATGCATAGACAGACAGACAGATAGATAGACAGATAGATGGATGCATAGACAGACAGACAGACAGAGACAGATAGATAGGTAGATAGATAGATAGAGAGACAGATAGATAGATAGATAGATAGATAGATAGATAGATAGATAGACAGACAGACAGACAGACAGATAGACAGACAGACCGACAGACCGACACAGACAGATAGGTAGATAGATAGATAGATAGATAGACAGACAGACAGACAGACAGATAGACAGACAGACAGACAGACAGACAGACACAGACAGATAGACAGATAGATTTAAAATTATGATTTTTCCCCCTGCGGTCACCGGAAAAAAGGGATTCTATGGAAGTCCTGAGAGACCATGAGGTAGTTATAATTTTCTAGATTGTTATTTTGAGATAAGTTAATTATCGTGTGATCTTAAGAAAACAAAATTGTTATCTTGAAATAACGAGTTATTTATCTTGTTATTTCAAAATAACAAAATTGTTATCTTGAAGTAACGAGTTACTAATCTTGTTATATCAAGATATCAAAATTGTTATTTTGAAATAATGAGTTACTAATCTTGTTATCTCAAGATAGCAATCCAGAAAAGTACTGCACCTGCTCACAGCCTCTCTGGACCTCCATAGGACTCTATTACCGGCTTAGGCCGACAAAGTGTGTTGGGCTTTTTTTCCTCCATACTTGACCTTATTGTTTTGACTAACTATATCAGTTTTACTTTAACACAGTGATCAGCAACTACACTGATCAATTGTGTGGGTACGTTTAATGACTCAATCGCAGAAAAGACACACATGATAAACGAGTGCACAAATACAAACTCTGCTGCACACAGAATGGTTAGGTTTGTGGAGAAAGCTTCTCTCAAAGATGTTTAACCCATTTAAACTGGCGCTGCAGGAAACAATTCAGTGCCACGATGCAGCCAAAATAAGAAAAAGCTAATTAAGCTTAACGAGTGTGTATTTTTTGAATGTGAACAGTAATGCTGTCGATCAGGAACCTCACCAACGATTCTGAAAAATGAGTATTGCCAAACCTCAGTGTCACAAGGCTTACCTGGAAGAGCAGCGTGTGCTGTTCCTCTGTCGGCGTCTCCACAGCACTCGGCCTCTCGCTCGACCAGTCGTCCCCCACAGCACTGTGAGCTGAAGCCGTCGTGAAGGACCTCGCCACAGCAGATCTGACCTGCCGCGGAGGAGAAGGGCGTCGCCCCACAGCACGAATCGCCCGGTCCCACGGACACTCGCAGCTGGCCGGGGTCCGGACAGCAAATCTCCCCTACAGACGGCGAGCATGAAGAGATTACCAGACGTGAGTGGTACACCGTCTACATGTTCAGTGCAAATGGAGAGGTCAAGCGAGGCTTACAGGCTAAAAGGAGAGACAGTGTTTCTCAACTTTTCTCGCCTCAGGCTGAGAAAATTCTTCCACATTTGGTCTTTATCATTACGTCACTTACTAATATCTCACCACACAAAACACGCTGTGGCTGCTCTTCCCACCACAATGTAAGAAAAGACATTTAAGTGCATCTTTACAACGATTTAATTATGATTCTTTAAGAAACGATTCAACGTGTTAATAAAGCTCAAATTTCACCACAACTTAATTAATTTCAGTTAGAATTATTAAAAACCACTTTACAGTAATTCTACTGTTAAACAGGATTCATGAATGGTTTAACCCTTTAAACCTAAAGGACCTGTATGTGGGCCCATACTCCCGTTTCCCATAACTGTAAATGTTTCATAATAGTTATCAAATAATGTATAGAAATTACTGGAAAATATGTTTTTATTGTTTCTTATTTTAAGATGAATAACATGTCTAAGGTTTAAGGGGGTAAAATTTGTTAATTAATTTTTTAATTAGGTAATAAACACCTTACAAATCATTAAAAAGAAGTTATAATTCATAAATAAAAAGTGACCTGTTACTTGCCAAATAGTGAGGCCACATACACCATTTTCCCTAATTTTCCTAAACTAACATATTTAAATGCTGTATTATTGCAGTGTATGAGATGCTTCTGCACTAGATGTGTTTTGTATTTTTTATTTTGTCAGTAGCATAATAACAAAAGCACAGTGTAATAAGTCTATAAATGGAATATTTGCAGCATTTTTTATACCAATGTGCATGTAGAATAAGGACCGGTCTGCCATGTGCACAAATTAGTATTATTATTATTATTATTATTATTATTACTGGTCTTATAGACATTAGTTAACTGAAATCAAGCATTTGCAGTTGTTACACATTTATATGTCTGTGAAATTTGCGCACTTATTTTATGATTAGATTTGATATACATACTCAATGTTGAAGAATAAGGCAGGCACTCACATTTTTCGGAAAAACCCTCTTGTCTCTCTCAACACAATGTTACCACCAAAAAATAAGACTTTATCACAGACATTAAACAGTGTACAGTCAGCATTTACTACCAGCTTTGGCAAATCAAAATAGGGGGTTCCTATAAATGTATATGCAAAAATGCAACATAGCAGTGACCACACCTTAGATCTTATCATGGGCACTAAAGGGTCACTGGGCCTGTTCACACTGTAAAAAATGAAAGTAAGTTCAACTTAAAATGATAAGGTAACTGATTACACAGCTTTTCTTGAGTTAACTCAACTTGAGGACACAGTTGATCAACTCAAACTTCTCAGTTCAGTCAAAAGTTATTTTAACTTTTTAGTTCTGCTTCTGAATTAGGTAAATAATATAGAATTTGTTTTTTTTAACCCAATTTCCCCATTGGCTGGGCCTCTTTCCATCACACAGTCCCACCAGATATTTTCTCCACTTGGGTATTTAGTCAGATTCTAGCTTCATAAATGTTTAATAGTTATAATAATAAAAAAAAAAACAAACAAAAAAAAACAAAAAACAAAAAGGAAAGTGGTCACATGTGGTGCAACTGACCCCAACATCAGGAGATTGTGAGTTTGGAGACCAGCAAAGTGTAATTTTTACATAGAAAAAATGAGCAGCATGTACCTTGGCTGACTGGGACATAGTATCCTCCACAACACTGGTGGTGAGCCAGAGGCTCGTGGAGCTGCCCGCCACAGCAAACACCCATAGTAGTGTTCACCACCGGCAAATAGAGCTCATCACAACACTGGTGCAAGTCTCTGAAGTCATGTATGGTCCCTCCACAACAAACCTACAAGAAAAAGACAAATGCAATGTCACACACAGTACACAACACAAACAGAGCGCTCAAACGCACCAGAGCAGCGCACATCCCATGTCACCTTAACAGAAGTGAGTTACGGTTCATATAAGCCCTCATGCATGTACATCTAAAGTTCACAAAAGTTCCTTTCCGTTCAAAGCAATTAGGAAGTTAAGAGGTGGCAATGCCCCGGCCCCAGAGGGGCCACCACACAGGCTCCTGCAGATTCAGGGAGCAGTCGGGCCCTGGGGCTGCTCGTCTTCCTCCTCCTGCCACCAAGCAGCGGCTATATTTAGCTGGACTCCACTGTCTATTCTGGCAAGAAATCAGGCCAGGATAGATTTTCCTACAGCGGCGGGACCGTACTCTGGTGGCGTCTGAAAAATCTGTGTCGCCCCGAGCCACTGACATTGTCCTTACCTTTTGGCTCGGCTTCAAGCTCGAAATGTTACGTAAGGGCGTGATCCACAGCGCCGAGAGAGGGAAAAAGTGTTTTGACTCGGAATACATCAGAGTGAATTATAATGAGGACAAATAATCTTATTAATCAAACAAATACGTTAAGTCACACTGATGGTACACAACAACGCACAGATGACTTAAGAACTCTGCAACACAGCATTAGGTGTGCAAAGTCAACTCAAACCCAGGCCTGTGTTCATAAAAGGCCTGCATCTGACAACAGAGGTGATGGTTTGGGGTAACACGTATCTACTGCCCCCTGCAGACAAACAGCATTGTTAGTCTAGACTTGAGTCTGACCGATATATCAAACTAGTATTGTTACTCCAGAGTCAAGTCTGAACGATATATCAAACTAGTATTGTTACTCCAGACTCGAGTCTGAACGATATATCAAGCTAGTATTGTTACTCTAGACTCGAGTCTGAACGATATATCAAACTAGTATTGTTACTCTAGACTCGAGTCTGAACGATATATCAAGCGAGTATTGTTACTCCAGACTCGAGTCTGAACGATATATCAAGCGAGTATTGTTACTCCAGACTCGGGTCTGAACGATATATCAAGCTAGTATTGTTACTCCAGACTCGAGTCTGAACGATATATCAAGCTAGTATTGTTACTCTAGACTCGAGTCTGAACGATATATCAAACTAGTATTGTTACTCTAGACTCGAGTCTGACCGATATATCAAACTAGTATTGTTACTCTAGACTCGAGTCTGAATGATATATCAAGCTAGTATTGTTACTCTAGACTCGAGTCTGAACGATATATCAAACTAGTATTGTTACTCCAGACTCGAGTCTGAACGATATATCAAGCTAGTATTGTTACTCTAGACTCGAGTCTGAACGATATATCAAGCTAGTATTGTTACTCTAGACTCGAGACTGAACGATTTATCAAACCAGTATTGTTACTCTAGACTCGAGTCTGAACGATATATCAAGTTGGTATTGTTACTCTAGACTCGAGTCTGAACGATATATCAAACTAGAATTGTTACTCTAGACTCGAGTCTGAACGATATATCAAACTAGTATTGTTACTCTAGACTCAAGACTGAACGATATATCAAACTAGTATTGTTACTCTATACTCGAGTCTGAACGATATATCAAACTAGTACTGTTACTCTAGACTCGAGTCTGAACGATATATCAAACTAGTATTGTTACTCTAGACTCGAGTCTGAACGATATATCAAACCAGTATTGTTACTCTAGACTCGAGTCTGACCGATATATCAAACTAGTATTGTTACTCTAGACTCGAGTCTGACCTAGAAACCTAGACTTGAGCATGACTGCCATATCAATCTAGTATTGTTATCAGGTCTAATTGATATATCAGACTAGTTTTGTTATGCTGGGCTCAGGTCTGAATGACAGATCAAGCTAGCAATTACCCTGGACTCGAATCTGATTCATACATTAACCTAGTATTGTTAGTCTAGACTCGAGTCTGAACGATATATCAAACTAGTATTGTTACTCTAGACTCGAGTCTGACCATCAGGCTAGTTTTGTTACGTTACACTCAGGTCTGACATCAAGCTAGTATTTTTACCCTAGACTGACATTTAATGTCCCTGACATTCCTTTCACTCGAGTCTGACTACCAAGGAATATTGTTATCTTAGACTTGGATCTGACTGACGTATCAAGCTAGAATTGTTATCCTCGACTCGAGCCTGACTGATAGATCAGCTGGATGATGTCAAATATCCTATTAATAATATACACAAATATCCTATTAATAATATACTGATATTCGGAGGCTAATTTTGTACAGAGAAAAACATTCACTTTAGACTGCTGAGCTGAGAGCCCAAATACAGCAATACAACTGAACTGGTAAATCTGAACACAAAGTATTACATGAATGTAAAATACATTTAACCCTCTACTGCACACATTATGAGAGCAATATATATATATATATATATATATATATATATATATATATATATATATATATATATATATATTCACTTTTCCTGCACAAAATTGAAAAAATGAAAAAAAAAAACCATGAAAAAATAAAGAAATAAAAAGATGTGTGCAGGGGTCCTGTTGGAGTATGTTGCCTTGAAGCCACACTGAGCAACAATAAGAACAAATGATATAGAGTTGTGTTCCCTGAAGTGGTGAGACCTGGCTTGTGACTGGCTAAATCCATTCCACAGTCATGCAATGTTGCTTCTAGGCAACAAACATATTTCTGAAAATTCCCATTACAAAAAAAATGTATACTGAACGTTAAAAAAGAGGTTTAGATGTGCCCACCAAGAGAGAATGACCAAGCACATGCTTTTTACTGACTTACTCAAACTCTTCCCTTTATTGTTAACCCTTTCATTGTCTTTAAATATGTATAACGTTACTATAAAGTGAGGAAAATAAGTTTGTTGCCCTGAGGCAACATTGTGCAACAGAGGGTTAACTTTAGGACAGTGGTTTTCAGGCCTCTCTCTATTACAGCTCCCAACACACTGAGACAGAGCAAAGGCCCTGTGGACTGGATGGAGAAAAACTGCTTTAGGATAGCATGAGATAACATTTTACAGCTAAAGAGAAATATGAGAAATACAAGCTAATTAACAGAAAACAAAATCGGTTAGAAGTCTGGGTGGCTTTGCCTCAGCAGTATTATATTCATATTATTTAAGACTGAGAGATTCTGCTGTTTACAGAGCTGTATTGGCTGGATATGTTAATTCTAATAAATTAATATTGGTACTGGCCGGTTTCTATTCTAGACACACATACAAAAAAAAGACCAGGATCAGTCCTCCTGTGAGTCACTTATACTTGCTCTGGACAACAAGGCAATATTAGCAGATGGCTCCGTCACATTCATTCGCCGAGACCGAGAGAATCATCTCTATTCCACGGCTGCTGTCGAACACGTTGAGCTCGTCTTTCCCTGAGTTGTGTTCTTTTGTGCTCGGGCCTCCAGAGCATTACTGTCTGCTTTTGAGCTGGGGGAGACGTATGGCTCACGCTTGCTTGCCAAGTTGGCGGCGTTTCAATAACATCAGGACTGCAGCAATTGCAGGAGACAAGTTAATCTATTTACTGAAAACAATTGCAGGGACGAGAGCTTCGCGCTTAAACGCCAAAACAGCTTGCTGTGTTTCTGTTCTCCTTGATAGAGGGGTATTCTACTTAAAGCTTAAAGAGCTTAAGAGCCCAAATGAGCCAAAATTTGTCACTTACATCATTTTTACAGACAAAATAATTAAATATGAGTGGAAAGTAGTTTTCATATAGAGGAAGATGAGCGGAAAGACGCAACCATTTACTATAAAATTTAACTATATTTGTTTTAACGATATACTCATGAGTTTAGCATGTAAACACAGCACTGAAATATTCAGTAACTGAAACAGAAGCCAATTTTGTCGCTGTAGTACAAAAAAGACAATCTTTTCAAGAGGCGTCAACCCAACTATCACGGCAAGCTGACCCTACCTGGGGAAAGAAACCCCTGAGAAATAGTATCATTTATATTTTATAACATAAACAAAGAAAACATACTAATGATTAATGCACAATAAAACAAATTAAGAGCAGATTTAACTAAACCTGACCACAAAACCAGAAAGATGGCTAAAAAAAGGATTTGTAGCTATCTAGCTAAGCTAATGATTGACATGGCTACTGTATAAAGTCAATACTAGCCAGCCAGTGAACTTAATTCTTACTAAATAATATTTTGTCTGCAGTATGCTTGCTCTTTTTTGCCTCAATGGTCTAACTCTACAGTTTCACTAAAAACTCTCAAAGCACCTTGTACAACGTGTCCAGGAATACGGTTGGTCATCCACATGAAATCTATAGACGCAAAATGTCCCTCTACCTGGGTAAGAAGGGATTTTCCTCATAGTGAAATCCTGTATCAGCTGTCATCTGTTCAAAATTGATTGTTTACATGTCAAAGCACTTGTTATCCCTGCATTCCACAAAAAATATTACTCTGAACTTCAACAATCCTAAATATTCTATTCTAATTATGCAAAAAGGCTTGATTAACTTGTTTTAATGATTACATTTCATTACAATAAGCTACAACAGATCACAGTAAAATACATCTGGTAAATAATCTCATTTGTAACATAGAAAATGTCAATTTTGCTTATTAGTTAAATAATTCTTATAATATTATCTACATTAATATAATAATAATAATATTAATAATAATAATAATAATAATAATAATAATAATAATCAACTCCAGGTGATCCAAGACGATCAAAAATCTTTGCTAACTCCTTAGCAATGTTAATGACTGCTCTAGCTAGCACACAATGCTAATGCTATGATAGTCATAGAAACTCATGTGAACGACTTCGTGTCTTCATGATGACAATCTAACTACATTATATTTTGGAATTATGATTATATTTTGTTCTGGTGGAACTTCTTTTCCCCAGAGATCTTTTTTTTCTAATATAAATGCTTACACTGCTATTATTAATTATAAATAAATAGATCAGCTGACCCCAAAAACATTGCAGGTCTATAAATACCAGGAATGCAGTCATTCAGATGAAACTGAGCATCGCTATTAAATCTGACCTCATCATCTGACTGGGGGAGAAACTAAGACAGGGGTGTCTTACCCTGTGGGGGCTTTTCCCCCCATGTTATTCAGTGTAGTGATCAGAAAAACAAACCGTGATTTTTGACAGAATAAAATGCTCACAAAGGAAACAAATCCCCATATAGATTATGATAATGTCCACTGGACAGACGAAATATGTAGTGACCTGCTGTTCTGGGTCGTAACAGGAGCTGCCACAGAAGTCCTGGTGTGCGGGACATTCCACGTATGAGCAGTGCGTCTGGGGGAGGGCAGCATGCTTGGCTTGGAGCTCCTCACATGGTTTAAGGGCCCGTCGGTGTATATCATAACCTCCCATGATTCCATTGGGCTGGCCAGGAGATGTCCACTCCAGCCTAACAGATCTGGAGGACATGGAGAGTTAGCAAATACTGTCATAACGTTTTTAAACTAAACTTTATCTATACAGCACATTTAACACAACAGTGTCGACCAAAGTGCTAAAGTCTAGGTTTTAAAGCTGTCAGCAGACCTAAAATTCAGAGAGAGACTGTTCCACAGCCTCGGAGCTGTAACTGAAAAGGCACGATCACCCCTCAGCTTCAGGCAACTGAGGAACAGTCAACAATAACTGGTCTGAAGACCTCAGAGACCGTGAGGAAGAGTATGGGCAGAGTAGGTCAGTAACATTTGGGGGTGTTTGTCCATGTAATGCTTTAAAAAGTACTTTTAAGTGGACCCTGTGATGGAAAGGAAGCCAGTGGAATGAAGCTAAAGCCAAGGTGATGTGGTCCGTTTTTTCAACCAAGCCAGGAACTGCTTGAATTAGTCTGTTACTTATTGGTTGTAACAAAAGCTTGGACTTCAGCCCTTTTAGATAAGCTCAGGTAGCACAGATTTATAGTGGCTTTCCACCTCACTGCAGTGTGGACTGACCGGTGAGTTATGGTGTGTGAGCAGCCCTTCCTTTTTGATGCACTTCTGATATTGATTTTCTTCTCCACTCATAAGACAAGGAGAACTCCCTCTCGACAGAAGGAGAATTTCCTGGTCAGCACTAATTCCCTTCAGAAACGAAGGTAAAACCCTTTTGTCAGATTCCTGCTTTCTTTATTTAGCATAATGGTAACATATTGGTAATTAGGGGAGGTGATTTGGCAATATGTTATTGCTATTACAATAAATGGAAACATTTTATTTAGATAGTCCATTTTAGATTCTTTGTAGATATTTAATTTAGGCCCAATCCCATTTCACCCCTCGCCCCTACCACTGAGCCCTTAGCCCTCTGTTACGCGTTCACGTCTAGGGGTAGGGTGTCCCGATTCTTGTTGAGATAGAGGGGGAGGGTGAAGTGTTGGGGCTACATGACCCTCCAAACAGAGAGTTATGAGAAAAAAAGAAAAACCAGCAAGATGGAGAACAAGAGACCAAAGAAACCCACAGATGTGAGAATTTTCTCTTAAAAAATTACCAAAACCACTGTATTATCTTAGTTTAATGTCGTTTCAGTGTATTATGGACATTTTCTTCATAACTAGAATAAAAAAAATCACTAACAGCATGCTAACGTCTCGGTAGCTAGCTAGCTAACTTTCCCGTTCCACCTTAAATAGTCCAGCAGTTCTGAAGCCTGAAGCCCCAGAATGTAACTGCTGCACATTTAAGGTGGAACGGAAAAATTCAAACAAGAATCTGGTGAATCTCTGACGTCAGCTTCATATCACTGAAGAATTAGGGGTGGGTGATAATAAATAATTGCCCCCCTCTTTGAAGGCATATGATTCCCTAAATGTAACTAAAGCCCAGCAGTGAGGAGCTGAACTTTACCCTCCTCTGCTGTCACTGCAGACTGGCAGGGTCGCCTACAGAGCAGCGCTAGTAGTTGTTAATGAAGTGATGCTCTTTTTTCTTAATTTGAGGGTTATTTCATTTCGTAGGGGAAGATTTCAACCACTACCCTGTAACTCAGTTCCAAGAGGTTAGGGTGACACTGGAAAACAAGGGGTAGGGATAAAAAGAAGAAATGGGACTGGACCTTACTTTCAAGTTACATTCAACTAAATATCTACTAAATTGACCATAATTTTCTTTAACTCTAAGCCCGACTCTAATCCTAACCCTAACCTTAACCTCGACCCAAAATCTAAACCCAACCCTAACCCCGGTCCAAATCCTAACCCTAACCCCACCACTGTTTAGAATCAACTAAGTTTCAACAGATAGTTTGTTAACAATTTGAACACCTGTAGGAAATCTATAGAGGACTGTAGGGGACCATCTAAATAAAGTGAGACCTGTTATAATACGCTTTTCTGAATGTTCAGTCATATACAAAAGTTTGGGCGTCCTTTTGTTGAAAATAAGTTAACAACCTCTACAGAGAACACACTTCTGCAAATTTATATGTTTCAGGACCCCCATGGACCCTCACAGAGCAGGTACTATTTGGGTGGTGGGTCATTCTCAGCACTGCAGCAACACTGACGTGGCGGTGGTGTGTTAGTGTGTGTTGTGCTGGTCTGAGTGGATCAGAGTTGGAGTTTTTAAACACCTCAGTGTCACTGCTGGACTGAGAATAGTCCACCAACCAAAAATATCCAGCCAACAGCGTCCTGTGGGCAGGTCCATGGGGGTCCTGACCACTGAAGAACAGGGTAAAAGGGGGCTAACAGTATGCAGAGAAACAGATGGACTACAGTCTGTAACTGTAGAACTACAAAGTGCAATATATATATATACATATGTATATATATACACACACATATATATATATAGTAGGAATAGGTTATTTAACATCAACACATGATGATGCAGTATATCTAATCTTT